CATAGCTTTATGTTATTGCTTATTAATGAATTAATATTTACAAGTTTGGGGAAAGTTTGGGCTCATTTACTCAATACTGACAAGGCAGTTTACGCCTGCCAGTTCTGTAATGCAGTTAGAGCAGCTGCCTATTTTGGGGAAAAGTATTGGGAGAGACACTATGGCAGTCATACTGTGGATATGGCTTACACCCAAACTACCTTGACAGACATCAGACAAAAATTTCTATGTGTTATCAGTACAAATAACTGTTCTGTTGGAAGATGTGGAAACTGTAGACTGGTGACAACTGTTTACTCTGAATTCATTAACCTCTGATTAAAGTCAAAATTCACCACAGTTGATATCAGCAAGAGCTCAAACTGATCTTTGGCAAAATCAAACACAACATTAAATCTGGCATCCTGAATGGGATGAGATGAAATTAAGTGACAGCAACGAGTGCAGTATCAAACTCAGCAAAGACAACCATTTGTCTTGAATATTACATTGTTAATGTAATAATTTTCATCTTTAGCCTCAGTAGTGGTTGAAACGAGGAGTTACAAATCCAGTCTCCAAAGCTCAAGCTAAAGATCAGATCAGCAAGGTCTCCAGATGCTTAACTACTTTCAGGAGTCCACAGCCAGCAGCCAAAAGGTATAAAAGATTCTTGGACCTGGCTCAGTGTATCTGTGCTCAAAGCTTGGTCAGCCACAATGAAGGACAGAAAAGGAAGAAATGTAAAGACTCTCAAATGCTTTCCACATTAGTCATGTGTAGATCCCATTGAAATTTTCCATTGTCTTCATGAGAATTGAAATGAAGCCAACTTACAGCATCTTTGAAAATCCCACCCTAAAATTATAGTAAGAAGAAGCAGCCAAACACTGCATTATGGTCTGCACATTCTTGAAGGGGTGGGGATCATGCTCAACATTATTTTTGTTAACACATTTTTAGATTTCAAGAGATTTTTCATGACTGACAGCAATTCATATGATTTTTTGCTTGTTGCTCTGTGATATATGTGTTTGTGAGCTCATTTTCCTCTTACAATGAGGTTCTGACTCTTTTTTTTTGCTGTTCTGGTGGAGTTGCTGGAACTGCCCAGGAAAAATAGATTTCTTATTCACATGTTTCTGAAAGCTTGAACTGAAACAAGGAGAATTTGAAGATTTTTTTCATCTCAGTTATGAGAGTCCCCTTAACACCTTAAAATGAAATCTAAGTTTTAGGATTGAACTGACTAATTGTAGCTCTGGGCCCTGATTTTGCAGCTCTTCCCCAAAGCAGAAGTGTAGATGCTATTCTATTGCATTCATTATTTCTAATCAGTGTTTTTGTCCCAGCTTTTCGATGCAAAAATAGTTCTATTTGTGTTTTGTTTTGATAGGTGAAGACAGCTGAGATCACAAGCCACTACTGAAATCAGTGGGAGGCTTTTTCCTGCTTTCAGAGGGTCTTTATTCACTAAGAGAAAAATAAACATTTATAGCAGAGATTTGTCTTCATTTTTATGTAGAGCTCAAATGTGTCTAGAAGTTACCTGACGTAGGTCACTCCATGCTCACCTCCTGTCAGAGCAGATGCTCACCCAGTCCTATAGAGTTGTGAATCATGAAAATGTTCTGTTGTTCTGTTATTTCCAGATTTGGATATTTTTTTTTTTTTTTATGTAGGATAAAACACATTACAAATCCTCTTCAGGGAAAAGGAAAATACAGGGAGAAAGGCATGTGCAGGCAGATTTCTGCATTCTACCTGTTTACTGAAAAAATGGTCTCTGGGCCAACATGACCATATGCTGATTGCTTTGTTGGAGAAGACAAATGTGCTTTTATACAAGCCTGGTTTGAGACAGACTGATGCCATTGCAATTTATTTTTAATCCAGCTGAAGTTTCAGCATGGTGAATCGAGAGGTATTTGCTGTGCCACTTGGGAAAAAAGCTACAGAAAAGGTCACGGACTGTAAGCAAGTTATGTAAGGAAATGGCCATCTTTCCTGTCTGAATTAGAGGGACATTTTTGCAAGGACACGGCGGCTTGCATGTGAAAACACATCTGCTAGACACGTAGCATTGGTGTAATAGGCCACTGTATCGCTTGTTGTGTATGAGGTTGGGTGTGATGAGGGGAGGCAGCAATAGGAATGGTTTGCAAGAACTTCTGCAACCTTTCCCAAGCTTCTGTGAAGGATTCTCAAATTAGGTCTCATGGGACAATATCTTGGTTGGGATCTTGACAGCATGCCATTGGTGGGAAGTGAAGTCCATGTATCTATATCAAAAGATAGTCACTGATAGGGAAATATTTGTTTCCTGTTGCTCTCTGTTTGCTACAGTGATTTTCTCGCCCTTGGGGTGGGTTTTTAGCCACTTGCCTAGAGTTGCATTGCAGAGATTATTTCGGGGGGAGTCCTGCTTGGTTTGTGTAGCAGCATGCCCGAGGCTTGTCTCCTTTCCCAACTGACTTCTTGGGTTCTCTGCCACGCTTCCTTAGAGATGGCAGATACCAGACAGATCGTGGTGCTGAGCATGACAGAACACCAGGTGATTTGTACAGTGTGCGGGGAATGGGGGGACACAGGCCACCAACACTAGAGCAGCTAGAGGAGATTTTGTTACACGTTCACTACAAGGGCAGGTCACCAGTGGCCATGTGCAGCCTCCCTCATTTACAAGAGCTGCATCACTGGGATTGAAGGAGATATGAGGGAGTTGGGGACAATTCTGTGTGAAGTAAGATGCTCTTCAGTATGAGGAAGACTGTCAAAATCTGGCCCCTTAACAAAAGTATTTGGAATAAAATTACTGCATATACAGGTGCAGCGCTGTATTTAATTCTGTGTTTATTTTGAACTGAAGCAGTGCTTTGAATGAGGAAAAAGGTGAGAAATACCACATAGCTGTTGAAATGATTGTTCTGATTGTCATGCTGGACTCAGAGTGAGTTCTGCAGTTCCAACCAGCAAGAAGATTTACATCAAGACCAGCTCGTGTGGAAGTTGAAGGAAAGTTTCACATCATGCCTAATTCAAGGCAATGCAAGGCAAGAGCTTGTAGCTGGTTGTTCTTCATAAGCTACATGCTACTGTAATAGTAGATATTTACAGGGCAGAGAGAGAAGGTCTGGGAACGTTTGGCACATAGGACATCCAGGGGGAGCTCTTCTTGAGAACTGCTCCCCACCACTCCTGAAGGCTGTAAGTACATGGGACTTATACCCGGTTGAACAAATGCTCCTGGGTGGACGTGCATGGGGTTAGAGCCTTGGTTCTGCATTCTCCACAACTTTTATGAGCTCTGCGAGGCACAGGACAAACTATGGAAGTTTTTGTGAGACCTCCTTCAGGTCATGCTGGATGTGGTGATATAGCACAAGATTGCCCCAGTTCTGCTGGTCTGGTGTTTTAGCAGAAGCATCTGTAGGTTGTTTTAATGTGATAACAACTCTCTAATGCCTTGAGATAGCTCTCTAATACCTAATATCTCTAATATCTCCTTGCAGGAAACCCTCTGGGAACTCTGAAACTACAACTTCAGGTTAACAACTCCTGGTAGAGCATTAATGTTTAAGAAGAGGCCAAAGGACATGGGTTTTACAGGATCTAGCAGATTTCTTGTAAGTCAAGAGGGCTTTTGAAATGATAGCAGACTATTAGCAAAGGCAGCTCTGTCAGGAAAGGTTTTGACATCAATTGCATTAAGAGGACATCGTCCAATAGGTACCTGGGATGGTTTATAGCCTTTACAACTCTCCTAACTGTGTTCCTTTGAAGGTGAAGTCGGTCTTTGACTTCTAGCTCATCTTGCAGTGAGAAAACCCATCTCCTTTCACCTGGCAATCCTTTATTGATTTTCTTTTTTTTGTTACTAATGGTGCTTGAAAGTAACTCGAAGTTTGTATCTGTTGCCTTATGTCTGTGCTTGCACTGTGTCTGGTGTTTTGATATTTCTGAAAATAAGCTTTGCTGCCTGTTCACACACCATCTGTTGGCTTTTAGAAAAGGTATTAGGTATGACTTTCCAGACAGTCAATAAGTCTCCCTACATCTGCCTATAATCCCTTTCTAAAGCCTATTGGTCTGTACTATTCCTGCCTCCCCCAAATAATAGCGTAACAGGGCAGATCCCTGAGTAACTGCCACATCGCACGGGTAAGTGTGCGTACATAACCTAACACAGGAATAGTGTTTATGGGACCTGCATGAAACATGGCTATTTTAAAAGCATTTATTTTCGCTGGAAGAGAAATTAATAACAGATGCAGTGCAGAGGCCATTTCTCAGTGGTTTGTGTCCACTCTCCCTCCCTTGCTGCTCCTACATGTCAAATTTTTGTCACAGTCAGCTTGAAAAACTTGAAATTTTACTGCCTCACAAACACGATGTGCTTGGTTGTTAAGTGCAAATAAAACCCTGGCTAGTCATTTTTTTGTACGCGTAAATACTTCTCTATCTGCTTCTGCTGCTGTGTAATGATTTGTGCAAGGTGCTGCAGTTTAATATATCAGGACGGTAGCATTTTAGCTTCTACATCACCATATATTTTTAATTATTTTCCCTCAAACCACTGCAGTTACATTAATGCTACAACTTCCTATGTGATTTTTTTTTTATTTTATATGCTTATCCTATGTCATCCCACTAGTATTAATAGACACCTCTGATACTCAGTGGCACACAAAAATATAATTTGATTATTTGTGACTTTCTCTGATGCATGCCGGGAATGCTATATTGCACTTTTTCAGTGTGCTCATTATTTTATGACAAGCTCAGCTGTCAGTCTGGATTTCTATTTCTTCTCTATTTTGTGAAGCTCTAAGAATATCTGGCAGCTCCAACCTGAGTGTTTGCATTGCGCTTCAACTAAAACAGACTTCACTTACTTTAACCAGAGACTTGTATATAGGCTAGTGCTCTCCAGCAACCTACATGAGCTAAACCAAAGGAATCATCCTATTTTATTTCCACATAAGGAAATGGCAGCACTTTTTTTTTTTTTTTTATTTTTTTTTTTTTTTTATTCATGGAATTCTAGTCATGTTGTAAACCAACAAACTTAACCTAAATATTTATTTATTTAATCCACTCCCCATTTTCCTCATACTTCTCTAGAATCTCTTTACACATTATAGTTCAGCTGGTTGCCAGTGTCCCAGCTCTGCCTGGGAGCGGCAACACAGCCTCTGCGGCACAACATGAACTCCTTCACTGGGCTTCAGCACTGTCCGCTCTGAGCTGTGCTATGATATATCGGCCAGTCTATTTGAAGCAAATGTCTGGGACATAATAAAACTGAATATAAAATATGCACAAAAATACCAGCAGTGAGGAAATCTTTCTATTGTCTGTCTTTGATTCAGCACAGCGTTGTTTTCATCCATGCTTGTATGCAGCGGGAAAGAAACGGTGAGTGAAAGCTGGCTGGGAACTGCAACATGGTGTTTGCCTTGAATTTGTTCACTTTTGTCAGAGAGAACTGTTGATTTCTACCTGGAAACCTTTTGGGGTGACAGAGCTGGTTTCTGTAGGTGTCCACGGTAGATTAATTTTGTATTAAAGGAGGAGCTTGGATCCATGAACCTCGATGAGTGCGGGATTGGGCACTGCATCATGCTTTTTCCCTTCTCTGGGCCAAGGGTGCAGTTCCTGTAGTCCTGCTGAAGTCACTAATTGCTCCAGATAACACCGGGTCTATAATTCACCACTAATGACAAGAGTTCTTCTGGTTGCATGTGTGTACTCAGCCATGCTACTGTGCTTCTGAAGAGGAGTGGGCTGGCAGTCCCCTGAAACGGGGTGCAGGGGGGCACAGAACGTGTGTCCCTGGGCTGGCAGGGTGCACTGCTGTTACTTGCTTACTCCTGGCGCTTCTGGAAACGCTGACTACAGACACTGCTTTGCAAGGAGTTACAGCAGAGCTCTTGAAATCTATATTTGCTGGGACTGTGATCTTTTACTTGGGGAATGAAATCCATAACAAGGTAGTCTCGTGGCATTGCCAGGGTACCCGAAGGCAGATGCAGGTATCAAGATGCCCTTCGAGTTCACCTCTGAAGTGTCTGTGTTGCTATGATGTGCAAAAGTACAGGGTCCCTGGAGAGGCTTTAGTGAAAAGGCACGCTTCCTTCAACAGCAAAGAGAGCTAAGAGGCAGCTTCCCTTCCCTTAAGGTCTGGACTTCCCAGCTCTGTGCTGTCGGCTGCAGTCCATCATCTGCGACTCATGTGAAAGTTCACTCCTGAGCGCTGCAGCCATGCAACTTAAACAGCACTCGCAGTAATGAAGATGGAAAAACGGGAGCAAAGAAAGAAGGGATGAGTGGGAGGAAGAAGACTACAAGTAATCAACATGTTTACAACTCCACTTTGATGAGTTTTTTTACATGAGATACTCCATTAAAAAAATAATCTTAAGGCAGTTGGATCATCTTAAGGCACTTGAAGTCAGTATGACCTTTGGCACTTGGGGTTTTGCTATTTTTGTCTGCTGGGTGAGATGTAGAAATCCAGCTGATCTCTAAGGTAAATTTTCAGTTGCCATGGCAATGTGTCTTGTTCATGTTCTCAGTTTGGACGGGAGATGGTTCCACACTGCTATTTCACGTTTCGGGCAATATTCTTTGGTGGCAAAATTTCTGTGTTTCAGTACATGAATGCTACAACTCTGTTCTTCCTTTCCCAGCTTATGGAAACATGGCTCAGCCTGAACATTCCCCTGTAAAAATATAGTTATTTGCATTTTTCTGTTGTAAGAACATTCCTAAGTCTGGAGGTAAATGTTGATCCATTTTGATAGCTTGGGTGCAACAACATCCTGACACTGTGAAGTTTCACCATTAAGTGAAAACAAACTGGAATCATTCCACCGTTGCTTCCATGTGGTTTGAACAAACTAAAGTATAGTCTGAACTAGCAAGTCCTATAAAAGAAAAGTAATTTAAAAGTACATCCTACCTATAGTGTATATCTTACATATTAGATTTTTACATATCTCCATGTGCTTTCAGTCAGTTCAGATTCAATCCTAAGTACTGCAGATTCCTAATTTTGATCAATTCTTGCTTAAGGTCACAAAAGGAGTTTCTCCTGTTTCTTTTACCACCTTTATTCTTTGTTTTTCCACACACCACCTTCACCTTATTCCTAAGGTGAAGAGTCAAGCAGGAGCAGGCATCCTGGTTTCTGTTGGCTCAGTGCAGTCTGCAGGAGTGGGAACAGGCTGCATACAGCTCTGGAGGGTTAGGAAAGCACATAGACATGAGTTGGCCTAGTCTGATACAGCTTGGAGGTTTCACAGAACAGAGGGCTCCTATATTGGGTAAGAAGGACCCCTTTCTGGTCATGTTCCCCATTTCAGTTGCATGTGACCATCATTGCCTTTCTAACCTGCTTTATTTAATGGAACTCTTCTTGTTTTTCTTTCCAAGTGACTTCACACAAGGGTGCAGCAGCTGTAGCACTTTGCACAACGCTTCTTCTTCTTCTTGGGGTGGAAAATGGTCAGGATTGCCTCATCAAAGACAGTCTTAAGGCCTTTCTGTGTGAGGGCTGAGCACTCCAGATAGCACTGCGCTCCAATCTGAAAGAGAAGAAAGAAAATGTGAGTACCCATTGTTGGGAGAGACAAAGCTACCCTGTTCCAGATTCTTTCTAAGTGTATCTGGCTGCCTGTGGGATTAAGGGACAAGCTCAGGTGGTCATCCTGAGCGAGACAGCAGGGAAGAGCATCAACACCAGTATCTCACCACAGGGGATTAATGGGGAACGGGAATTCCCTGCATGACCCTCCAGAGAGAGGGGGATTTCATCCATGTTTGAGCTTGGCCTCTCATCAGGGAGGGCTTCAAGGAGATGCTGGGTTGTTAACTGAACCCCTTCATATACTTGGCTATTCTCCACTGAGCTGTCACCCCTGTGCCCTGCCTTCTGCAACACTAGGGACCTGCTACCTGGGGGAGGGCTTCCAGCTGGCTTCTGGGAACTGGGAAGCATCATCTTGAGATGGGAATCTCCTTAGCATGCTGGTATGACACAAACACACACACAGTGGCCTGGGAGAGCAGTCTCAGCTTATTCAGCAAGCTTGTTGCTTATTGAGTGTGTTCTGCTAATGGATGCTCTCACTGGCCTTCGAAGGCCAGGGCCTGTAACAGCACTTGCAGCAGGTAAGGTGGGAATGGGTGGGGCCCAGATGCCTGCATTTCAGGGCTTGAGAAGGGCTTTTATCCCCCTACATTCCCGGGAGAAAGGTGCCATAGCACAGAAACCTTGGGAGCTCTTTCTCTGCTGCTTGAAGTGCAATGGATAAGTGAGAATCAAGTTGTCTGTGCTTTTGTAAGGGATAGGGATGAGTTTGGCAGAAGGCGGCTGCAGAGGGGGGTTTGCCACACACACCTCTTGGCAGAAGCCTGGACAAGAAACACTTGAGTAAACAGTAGAATCTCTTTTGCTGCCCTTTTACCAACTGCTGTCCCATGCTGCTGTGCATGGAGCTTGACCAGCTATTGCAGCAAATCAGCAGGATCTGGAGTTGCAATCTGTGTCTGGGTCCAGCCTGTTTGAGCATAAGCTTTTATCTCTGTCTGGGACCAACCAACACACCCCAGAGGAGTTCAGCTTGGATGAAACAAACCCCATGGAAAGCTGTGATCAGTCGGTTTTGTGGAACCCCAGAAAAAGCTATTACCTCCTTTGCTAGCTTCACACCGTGCTCATAAGTGAGTGGTTTCTCCTTCATGTAAAGCAGCCGAGCCAGAGTTTTGGGATCATCTCGGAGATCAATCTAGTAGAAAATGCACAAACCCCATGTTCAGCACCGCCTTGCTGTAATTCTTGAAACAGATAGTCATAGCTTTGCAACCCACAGTCATATCCTCACATAAGGGCATCTGTCCTCCTGGCCTCAGATGATACTTCAGACATGAACTGCATGTGTATATTCTTTCTTTATTATTATTTCTTTTTAATTTCTGTTTAACATGAATTAGTTGTCACTGGTGGCTTATTGGGCCACAGCTTAGACAGATGCAATACAGTAAAGATGCAGTTCTCAATGGCTCTCACAATGCATCTTGGAAAGTGTTGGTGGAAGCCTGAGCCACACTGGAAGGGGAGGCTGCTGCACCCCTGCACTGCATCACCGATAAAACAACTTGACAGGCCAGACAGATGCAGATCAGTCTGACTTGAAATAAAATCCTTTATTTCCATGGAAAACATCAAAGTGAATCGTTCTGGCATTTCAAACCCATCCATTCTCAGAGTGTGTGCTCCAAAGGGTAATATTTTAATTGTAAAATGGGTGGTTTAGATTATTTCAGTGTGAAAAACAAACTCCATGTTTGAACCATTGGACTTTCCTATGGCATCAAGATTTTGGTTTTGACCAGAATTTGAACTGTTTCTCTTACTTGGCTTAGGTTACTGTCCAGTGTTTGGACATTTTCCAGACTTGTATCCTTATTTCTCACAGTCTCTAGGCCACTTTGTGTCTTGGAGGCAAACTCATATTTAAGGAATTTTTATTTGATGGATACATTCATAGATTTTAAGGCCAAAATAAAGTTGTTTGATCGTTTAGTCTAACATCCACCATAACACAAGAAGGATGGTGAGTCACTATTTGCAACATTGATGTAAAACATGAGGGAGGCTGTTTCCTTCACATGTCTCTAAGTCAGTCATTTGGTTAATTATTCCCATTCTTAAAATTTAGTTTGAAGTTTAGCTTCTGCTTCCAACCACAGACTTTGATGGGATTTTTTCCCCCTCACTAAAGGCCTGTCAGAAATCTTTTCTCCCTATAGGTATTTATGCCTTGATACCACATTAATATACATTTGAATAAAAGGAAGGGATGAGTTTTGCCAGTTGTGATTAGCATGATGGGAGATCTGCATGCTGGTTTCTGTTACCAGTCCCTGAGTTTTTCTCTAATGGCTGCATACCACATGAGAAGTTAAATGGGAAACCTTTCTACAGAGCTCAGCCTCCAGCCACCCCTGGGGTAGACTAGGAACCCCCTTGCTCTGAAGACCCCCCCGATGGCTGGCAGTGACCTGGAGGAACATTACCTGTGTTCCTATGAGGACGTAAGGCACGTTGGGCATGCAGACTTTCAGCTCAGGCACCCACTCCTCCTGGACATTGTGGTACGAAGCAGGGTTCACCACTGAGAAGCAGATCAAAAACACATCCGTGTTGGGGTAGGACAGGGGTCTCAGCTGGTTGTAGTCCTCCTACCAGAGGGAAAACAGTAAATGTGTTATGAGGTGAGGGATAACTGCAAATGGGGGCGTCATGCTGGCTCTTGATGAACTGCTCAACGTTGTCCTTCCATGCTCATGTACGCTTATAACCTCCACGGAGCTGCTGTGGGGGAAATCACCTGTCGTGGGCCAAGGGTGTTGTTTTGTCAGCATCTTTACTCAAAAGAAACAACCTATTTTGTTTGTGTGTGTATTATCTGTGTTGATGCTGGTGTAGAAAGTAATGCTAAACAGTGGCTGTCACCTGTAGTATAATAAAAATTGATCTTGAGGCTGTGTGTACCAGCCTCAACCCTTTGACAATGTGATACCATCCTGGGAAATATTATTTGCCTGTCACCACTAGCTAATATTTGCTAATGGCACACATCTCTAGGGGATTTTCTGTTAATATTATGGACTTTCTATTCCCCAGTAGGCGTTATAGACATGACCATATACAACAAATAGGGCCTCTGGGCTATTTGGTGCCATCTCAGTCAAGTCTGGTATGCAGCAATGGGTCGGTCAGCAGAAGACATTAATCTTGAGAGCACAAAACAGGTCAAATCCAGCCCGCAGTGACTGGGTAAATCTTTGGGGGTGATTTAGTGTTTCCATAGGCCCTGAACTGGGGAAGGAGAGATTATTTCTCCATGGACTAGTTGTGAAGAGGGTAAATTTTCAAACAGCTCAAAGCGCAGCTGTGTTATGTTGTGAGCTGTCTTTGATAGTTATTTCAAGGAAGAATTTAGGTCTGTTTTCAGGCTTGAGATGTTGAGAGTGAGCAGAGGTTTTGCAAGCTGTGTGAAAGGGATAGAATGGCTTTTTCTGATAGTAAGAGCATATGTAGCTGTGTCTGGTGGGTACTTTTCAATGAAACCTGTTAGAAAATTTCAGTAAAACAGAACAGATGCTTTTAGAGGGGATACACCTGTTCTGAAGACTTTTTTTGGGGTCCAGAATTAAAAAAGAGGAAAGGTACACAAAGTTGAAGTGTGGGAAACGACAACAAATGTTTCTGTGAAGCCTGACTGATACCTAGGTCTTTAGTTTATATTTTCTGCATTCTGGGCAAGCCTCAAATCTCTGCAGTATGGTTGCTTTTGGTTATAACTGTACGAAAAGTCAACTGGTGCAGTTTTGCTTTGCAAATGCTGAAATAGTTAATAACTCAAAGAAAAGGAAAAGAAAAAATTATCTAGATGCTGTTGCTCAGACTCAACAACATTTATTTGGGGTAGTGAAGACGTACATTAGGGGCAGGAGCAATGTAAGCTGCTGGCTGTCCTGCAGGAGAAACTGATGCAGGACTGTATCACTGTGCCCAGATTAAATGGTATTTAATTCAGCCTTGCTTCTGTTTTGTTTTGGTTGGTCCAACAAATGAGAGGGTTTAATTATGAGTTGAGACTGGTAAATCTTCTTTCCAGTGTCTTTTTTTTTTTTTTTTGTTGAGCATGCAGTACTAAAATGACCCAGACTACTTCTGAATCAACACTAGTTTCTGAAAAATACTAATGGATTATATAAAAACAGTCCACTCCAACCTCTTTTAAACAAAAAACTTTAATAAATTATTCTGAAAGGAATAAGGCCAAATTTAGCTCTGTCTCATTAAAAAGAAGTTTAAACAAACACCCTAAACCACAAACAAAATGTTTTGTTTTGTCTAACTGAATGTTCATTGTCCCAAACCCACTTCAACAGGAAGAGTAAATTCCCAGTTACCACCTCCAGCCCCACAACTACAATATTTAGGGTAAAGCCAGAGTATGTGTCAACCGATTAATGTCTTTCCAGTGTCATAGAAACTATTGATCTGAAGAAGGATTTACAAGACGACATGTTTGGACATATCAGCCCCCAAGAAAGAGTGGATTCTTTACATTCAGGGAATGGCAGGAAAAAAACTTCAGAGACGTTTGTGGGAACATCAACAATACAGGCCCCAAAGAAGCAAAGTCTGTGTGAGGAGATGTATATGAGGCTCTAGAGATGACACCCACCTCTTAGCAGATGACTTAATAGAGGTGAAGTGGATGCCAAGATGATGGGATCAGCCGAGCAGTTGCATTATAGAGACAGATGTGCTTTAGATGGATGCTTCCAGGGTTAGGAAGGTCTGGTCTGACTATGGGACGTTATTTTAACCCACAACATCACATATGAGATTAAGTATGTTTATGCCACAGTCAGCATGGGCTGCTACTAGGTGCTTGGCAAAGGCCTGTCCTGGTTTTGGTTTAATTGCTGCAAATCAGCCTCCTAAAACAGCCACGTGGTGGCAGCAAGCCCTCAAGGAATTGTGATTTAGGATTTCTGGAAAGAAATTGACTAAATATAACCAGTTTCAAAATTCCAGACGTGCATATGCAGAGGGACTGGAACTTACTGTACCATTAAAATTACAAATTAAAAGCCACGAGCACTCTGTCTGGCAGTGACAGCTACAGGAGTGTGCATTTCATTTTATTTTACTTCTTCCTTCAGAGCCCCTAGAAAACCCTTTTTCAGAAGAAGCGTTCCTGATTTGCATTAGCAGCACTGAGCATTATATAAACTGTAAGGAGGGAGAGCCACGCATCACATAGCAGAGGTCTTGTCTCCCATCAGGGCACACGGAAGCTTGCACGGATGTGTTAAAGCACAAGCACAAATGTCGTGGCTAAGAGTTGGTTTGGGCTCCTCTACATGTCTGTGTCTGTAGGCTGGCAGGAGCCTCCAGACCACATCAGACAAGGACCCTGTCTCTGTTAGTACCTGGTCTCCAGGAGAAGGCTATAAAACCTTGTAATGGACCATTATGAGATATGGCCTATCAGGATCATTTCTCATTCAGAGATGGATGAAGTCAAGCAAATAAATACTGTAAAAAAGAGACTGGATATTTGCACGGGCATGGGGCATATCCAGAGGTGCTGCAGCTAGTGACAGTAGCATTTGGGAAGGGACATGAGTTCTCATGGGCTTGACCTGCAGATGATCATTAATTTGTTTCCTTAGCTCATGCTTACATGTTCTGCCTGTTATTTAGGAAGTGCAGGGCTGAACGCTGGTTTGACATAGAAATGGCCTTGTTGAGTTACCTGTCTGTGATGTGCCTGGGCTGAGATGCAACAACTGGTCTTGCTCATTCCCTGCTCCATGGATGCCTTGCAGTGTTCAGGCCCAGAAAGTACAGAAAAACCTGCATTTTTTTATGTTGCTGGCATGCTGATCTCACGCATGCTCCCTGCCATGTCAGCCTGCTAAAGACCTCCACACCTGAGTTCAGCCTGGAGAAAAAAAACCACTGTGTTTTGTTTTTTGTTTTTTATTCCTAGGACTGTTTGTGCTACGGATGCAGAAAACCAGATCCCCCAGATCTGGGGTCTCTGCCAGCTCTCCCTTTGGGTCTGACAGAGGGTCCTGCTGCAGGAGTACATTTTCCAATTGTTATTTCATTAGCATATGTTTTATAGCATCGTAATGTCAAGTGCTATTTTTGGCTATGACTTCACACCGATGCCTTTGGAAAGCCACACAGCACAAGGAGAAGGAGGGAGGAAACAACCCAGATGATCTGTCCTTACAGCTTGAGCATATGGGAAGCATCATCCTTTCAGACTCCACGGAGATACAATCTAGTCATCAAGAAGTGATTCATGCTCTGAGTTTTGACTAGATGGCCACATCCTCTGGACCAAGGTCTGAAAGGGAAATGAGCCTGATGGGTTAGAAATTGTGCCTGGAGGCAGGTGGTGCTCTGGCTAGTTTGAAGCAGGAGATGGCAAAATGTCTGTGGAGGAATGGATGGAGGGGCGAGTTTGTCAAAGAGACAGATTAGTGTTTTCTTCTGGCTCAGGAGGACAAGTAAGAGGAGGTGTTGCTGAGAAAATGGGTGGCACGTGAAATTGTCAGCCCTACAAAACAAGTAGAAATATTAAGGCACTGGGTAAAATCTGACTGAGAAGTGAATAAAACCCCTGCCTCATTTGCAGAGGCTTTGCAGTGCTGCTGGATCATGACAGACGTGCTTCAAGCTCTGCGTTTGTGAGTACAGATTAGGAAATTTGAACATGGGACAAGGACTTGGGTCATATTTTGGGTCTGGCTTTTGGATCATCTGTTTGCACCATGTGAATAGAAAGGATGGGTGGACTGTAAGTGGCAGCAAGCTAGCTATAAAGTGACCGTGGCTGCCTACATACATGTGATAAGAATAAAATGAAAAAAAATCAAAACCAAAGCATAAAAGCCCAAGTCCTGGTGAGTGCAGGTTTTTCTGGATGTGGCAGTCTGCCCTGATAAGGTTTTTGACCTCTCTGCATACTGATGCAAAATATCTTCTGTAATGTGTCCTGCTGCAGACAGGAGGGTCTCCTGCATCGTTTATGCATTTTATAGCAGTCAGTCATGGCCAAAGAAGCACAGCGAAGAAGTGCTCCTGAAAGCAAAGCCCTGCATCCAGGGCTGCTGGGTCCCAGAAAGGGAAGCATGATCTCAAATTTGCTTTCCTCTCCCAGTGCCTCCAGTGCCAGCCCTGACCAGAGGAGCTGGTGGATGTGGGTTCCAATCTTCCCAGGCTGGGAGGGACCTGGGTCCTGCTCCCTCCCTCCTCAGCAGGTGATTTTCTGCAAGGCTTTTGTGTAGATTGTGGTCCTTTCTTTATTCTGCCAGCCGAAGGCATTTGGAGGTAAGGCAGGGGAATTTCACCATTAAAATGTGTTGTTCCCTGTACCCTCCTCTGCCTTTCTACGGGCAGAGCAAGGCAGTGAGAAATACTCTCTCCTCCTCTCCAGGTTCCGAAATCAGCCCATAGACCAGAGTGCTTCTGCAAACTTCTGTTGCAAGCACACTATCAGACCGTGAACAGTGAAAACAGTAAAAGCATTATATATGTAAGTAAGCGTGGGGTATAGCCTCTACTGTAATGGACACCCTTGTCCTGGGAAAAGGATGTTGGGATGGATGCCAATCTGGCTGGGTTACCATTTAAAAAGTCAATAGCTGGTGACTGATAGGCTCGTGATGTATTAGATCAGTTTTCTGATCTTGCAAAAGGGAATTGTTCTCTGTACCTTCAATGCCACCATGTGGTAAATGTAAGAAAACACTGACTTTATACCAAACGTCATATTTGCAGTAGGTGGATTTATGGGAAGTCGACCAACCTAATCAGGCTTTAGCTTTTGCTCAGGCAAAATTCAGTCTCAGGGATGAGTGTACTTGTGTCTGTTTTATTGCTGAACCAGAATGAGAGCTCTACGTACAAAACAAAAAGAAGTTCAACAGTTCAACCATTACAACTCACAACAGATTGTTAATAGTTGTAAAAATAACAACCCCACAAACAGCATGAACAACAAATCCCAATATAGAGTAGTAACAATCAAACCATGGGAAAGGAAAATATAAATGTTTTGCAGTAATTTACCTGTCCTGCAGTGTCATAAAGTCCCAGCAAGTGTTGTTGTCCTCCCACAGTCACAGTTACTGGAAGGGAGAAATAAGAGATATTGTTTATGCACAAGACAGTGGCCTCATTTTGATGTGTTTTTATCCCCAAACACCAATAGACCCTTGTGCTAGACACATTAGCACGTGCCTTACAATGGGCATCCTAAACCAAGCACACCTATGCAACCCAAATTGAAAGCAACCTGAAGTTACAACAAAAGCAAATCCTTTATGCCAAGCTCCTATTTCTTTACAAACAGCCAAGAGAGATGAGCTGCACACACCGCTGCTGTCAAGGACCTGGAGACTGAAGGATATTTGCTTCTGTCTCTGCAGGCACCAGCTGACCCCATGAGGTACTAGGACCTGAAAGCACAGAATTCCTGCCTTCTCACCATGAGCACTGGGGTAGGTCTGTCATGGATCATTGAGAGTTTTTTTTGTTGTTTTATTTCTTGCAGGCTGTGAAATGATGAAGCATTCAGCAGTGGTTGATTTTTGGTGGGTCTCAGTGGAGGTGTGCTGGTTCTTGGGTAACCTGTCCTGTCCTGTGTCATGCACCTGCAGGTCAAAGGGGCAGTGCTTAATGTGTGGGGCTCTGTGGTGGATGCCTCAAAGGACAGGGAGGAAGAGGAGCACTGATATTTGCTCAGATATTGAACTGACTCTGTTGTAAATGAAGGAGAGCTTAGTTTATTGGCTGTGGCTTAGTTTATTGATCACACTTAGCACGTTTACTCCTTCAGTAGAATTCACTTTGAATTTCCTTTTGAGACAATTTACACTGATGAAAATGTTTTCTCACTGCCTTTGGATGAACCCCATTATTATCTGATCTCTGTAATCAATGTTATTTTCTATAAGAATATAATCTGTGTTAATGGCATTTAGTTAACCAGTTAATCTGCTTAAATCATTTCTACTCAACTGGAAAGAAAGGGGGAAATCCAGTTCCACCTATTAGTCAGCAGGAAGACTTTAAACATTCACCAGGAAGGTTGCTCAAAATAATGGTATTCTTGCAGCCCATAGACTATTACTTTTTTGTAATCATGAGGGAAAATAGCTGGAATGAACATAGAGCTATGGCTGGGGCAGTGGGGTGCTAAGACTAATGCCCTTTGGCTGATCACAACTTGCAATTAATGAGGGAAAGATTAATAGTTACTTTTGGCAAAGAGAAGGTTTGAAAATGTCACACAGGTTCTTGCTTTTTTTTTTTTTTTTTTTTTTTTTAAGTGATAAGACTTCTGTAGGAGAGAAGCACGTACCAGTTTACAGAAGTTAATAGCTCCTGCACTGGGGAACAATGTCCTGTGTGAAATCTCTTAGACTTGAAGACTCTGTCAGTGTGGCTGGATAGACTGATTATTCAGCAGCTTTACTTGCTTGCAAAGCAACACAGTGATTTTGCTAGCATATAAACAGAACAAAACTGACATCCTGAAAGTACAAAGGCTCGGGGAGGACCAGACTTGCTGATGAGAGCAGGACGGGCTGCACTCACCTGCTGCTGGGGCTGCCTTGTGATGTGCAAGGGAAAGAAGAGATGGGAAAGGGGTGAAGAGCTCTCCTCCTGCTCCTCAGTTCAGGAGATAGCTTGTACACAGTGCAGAAAACAGGGGAACTTGAAGTGGAGCTAGCTGTTGAGCACAGATGTCCATGGGTGGAAGAGCCAAAGGAAGTGGTACTGGGATGGGGAGATAGGTACTAATGCAGGCAGGAGACAGTCCAGATGCCCCATCTCCTTTCTTCAACCTGACTTGAATAAAATAATTTGAACTATATCTCCCCAAAGCCCTGGTTTTCAACTTTTTGAGATGTAGGAAGTCTCAAAATATCCCAGTAGAGCTATGAACTGTATGTATAGTGACAATATCCTTGCTTTTCTTAGCTCCCTTCTCAGAAGCAGTGGGGGCCTGAAACGCTGGAGTTTCAACCCCAACCCCAAATTAAAGTTGACATTTGGGTGATTCCCACAGCCCTTTCCAAAGGGGGGGTGAGTTTGCCTTTAGGCTTCCCTCCAGGGTGGGGCCGGCCTGGCAGACAGAGCCATTGGGTAAATGAGCCCCAGGTGTCCCACATTAAGTAATCCAAGGTCAGGTGTCCCACTGAGGGATAAAAGCTGGGACCACTTGCAGGAGGGGCAGTGTCTGTCTGTGAGGTGGATGCTCTGTGCAGAGTTCCCTGTTGGGGAAGGACCTCCTGCCTCCCTGGGACTGGGCTCCAGTCAGGTCTGTTTTTTGTAAATGTGGACTGTGTGGAGATTCAGTGTGTGGCTTCCTTGGTCTTATGCGTTTGGCTTGTTGACTCAGTTATCTCCTATCCCTTCTATGGGAGACTGCAATTCACCATTTATTCCACCCATTGATGGTTGTGTGGTGTTGTTGCTGGGGTCAGTGGGATTGATGTCGGTTATGTATAATCTGATTGCACCCCCAGCGCTCACCCGTGTAATGACCCTTTTGTATCAAATACAATTTGGTTATTGGTTCGTCTTTATGCTGGCTGTGTTCTTTGTGCTAGGTGTAATAATTGGCAAAACAGGGCCACAGGTGGTCCTGCACAGCTTAACAGAGGCAGCCAGGAGGTGCACAGTTTTTTCCAGTTGCAACCTTGGCCAGCATTCAATCTGCCCTTGTGCCAAGAACTGCAGGAGCCAGACCTGTTCTGCTGATTTTACTCTGCTCAAGGACCAACTGTGGGAAGATGTACCCTTCAGCTGAAGGCACTTTTCTACCTGTGGTGCTTTAGCCATGCAGTGCTCAGCTGTCTGAGGTGGCATTCAGGACATGATGTTCAGGACTGCATGTGAACATCAGTTGCACTGTCAGTCCTTGGTTGAATTTGTATGGAATCTGCAGAGCACCTCCAAAATGGGATGCTCATAGGGCAGCTGTGTAGCCATGGGGTGCATGGAGGGGCAGGTGATCTAATGTGTCTGGTGAATATGAACGAGACACTTGCCATACATCAGTGGTGACGTAGTTATCCAGCTCTACCTCTCATGCTGGCTAACCCTGTGCACAGGCAAACTAGGCTGGGCCCTGCTTACAAAGATCAGCTCGTGTCTGAAGTGCTTTGAAAATTTAAAAGTCACACTGAAATTTATTCTGTCCTGGCTGAGCTGCTGTGAAGATTTGGTGGCATCTAACTGACAGAGGTACACTGGCAGGAAGACCTGGTGCAGATACAAATTGCTGCCTTGCTCCAGTAGTTAATAAGGTTTGGAGATAAGCTGTTTGAATAGAGGTCTGTTCTGTCTCTGGTGTGCTATGCTTTGCCAGAAGGATATGCTGCAAGAGCTCCTATACTACTATGTGTACTCTGTGGTCCATGAAGTCAGGGTGGATATTTTGCAACAGGTCTGTGGAGCCACACACTGAACAGTTACTGAGTTTGTACAGTTCAGTCTGGCTCTTGGTGACCTCGGGAAAATGCTGAGGGGGAATAAAGAAGTTGGTGGTATCCTACCATTACCCTTCACATCTGCAAGAGCATTTGGAAAAATACACCTTGAGACTACCTAGCTTGCACATCACATTTTAATTCTCCTTATAGCATCCTACCTCTTATAGGTCCTGCTGTTAATCTTTGTGGTACCAGTCATATTTTTTTTTCACTTTCTTTTTCTTTATTATTTCTTTCACTTTCTCTTTCTTTTCCACATCAACTTTTATATTTTCTTTCTTTAATTATTCTAATCTGTCTCATCAAGAAGATATCTTTCCTGTCCACATCACCTCTCTAAGTTTACAGCGACCACCCCAGCAAAACTGTCATCTTGGTTAAACTTCAGCAACAGGCAAATTACTGTCTTTGGATTCCTGGTTCTGAGTGCAGTGGGGACCGAATGGCTCTCACTGCCAATTCAAAACAATTCCTGTCTCTTGAAACAGTGATGCTTAGATTAATGTCTTGATGCTGAGATTTCTACCACACTTTCATGCAGACAAAACAGATGTCAAGATAAATGGCTTTTGCCTGTGTAAACATGATGGTGTTTTTATACTAAGAGTTTATCAGTCCACCTCTGTCAGGCAAAATGTTGTTCATTTTGTCCACTTGGTAGGTTGTATTTATGAGCTGAGATTGCTCTGCCAGATTTGTAGGCCTTACTCTTGGCTTTATCTCAGTTTACTTTTACTTAACCTCTTACTAGCTTTTCCTGTTCTGTCAGCAGCCAAACCTATGAGAAACCAACGTGGAATTCCTTCCCAGTCATTTGGGTAATGCAGGCTCCGCTACAGGCTTGTGAGCTTGGCTTTATGAGCCGTCTTGGAGTAACAAATAAAACCGAACACTCCTTGCCATTTACTGGCTATACTGATATATTGATTAGCACTGAAATGGCATGGCCTTTAACACCAAGTGCAGTGGGGACTGCAATAAAACGTGGCTGAATACTTGCACAGTCCTGGTTCTCATTTGGCTTCAGTCTGGGTTGCATGAAACAATGCGACAGGGCAGATGTTTTCTCCTTTTGCTGGGTGGTTTTAACCAAGTGCAGGATCTGTAAAAAAACCCTCTTAAAATGTTATTTGGATCATAAATTAGTTGGCTATTGCTTGCTAGAGTTTGAGTAACTATCATCTCCAGGGCTTTGTCGCAGGTCTGTGTGCCTGGGGGTTTTGTTAATGGGCTTCAACACAGAACTCTGAAACATGCTGTTCTGCCACAGCAGAAAGGCAAGGTGCTGGATGGAGTTATTGTGTGGGCTGGATCTGGTCTGTGAACCATGGTCTGAGCTGAGAGTTCCATTTTTAAATCAGTGGTTAGTTTGTGTCTTGGGGACAATCTGACAATTTTTTGTTGATGTTCCTGTTGCCCAGGTTGCTCTAGATGCACCATCAATAGTCACTCTGCCAAACTCTTCTCCTGTTTTATTTCATATGTTTGCAGCAAAGCCTTGGTGACTTTGTGGGACTGAACTGTACCCATGGAAGAAACCTTCAGCCACACAACAGCAATCTCCATGGTCTACACTGACAGAAATGGGATATAAATTTTCTGTTGCCCTCCCAGAATCTGTTTGC